CCATTCGTGGTCAGCCACTTCCGTCTCGTGGACGCCGCCTCCCTGCGAGCGGGGCCCGCGTCAGCCGCAATGCCTGCGGTGTACGAGCGGGTAACCGCGCCGCCCGTCGCGTCGATGAGGGCGCTGGGCAGGGGCGTGCCGCGGGCACTGGGTGCGGAGTTGCGCTTCGTGCTGGGCGCGGAGATGGGGACGCATCGCTGGGCGACGCTGTGCCAGGTCCGCTTCCGCGCGCTCGGCGCTGGCAAGGACGAGGCCTGGGACGAGATGGGCGAAGCTCCGCTGGGCTGTGCTGGAGGCAGCGGGCTGATGGACGACGCTCGTGAGGCCACCGTCCTGGTGCGCGAGGAGGATGGGCTGGACCTCGGCTCTGTCTACGAGTTCGCGGTGCGGGTCGGCGACAGCTACCGATTCGGCCCCTGGTCTACGGCTTCCCGCCCGATGAGGTTCGCGGTGTCCCCGCCGTGTGCGAGGGAAGACGCCAGCATCCGCATCCAGGCAGAAGAAACAAGCGCGGTGTTGTCATGGGATGCTTTCGGGCCAGATGCGAAGCTTGCCGCAAGGCTGCCAAGCTTCGCGCAGCTGCCGGTGACGTACACCGTGAGCGTGTTCAGCGGGCAGGCGCGGGAGCTGGTGACGCGCTTAGACGTCCTGGGTGGTTGTTCCTCAGAGGCCCAGCGCAGCAGCGTCATAATTCCCTCGCTGTTGCCAGGAGTGTCATACTCCGCCAGCTTGGTTGCCACGTGGAGCCGATTTGGTAGCCGCTGCCCTTTCGAGTCTGGTGAGGGAATGCCTCTGCTGATTGCCTTCACAACGCGTCCATCTTCCACGAGCTTAGCTGGCCGTGGCGGCATCTCGGCGGAGGTCGATCGGACCCAGCAGAGTGCCGCATCCAGGCTCCTCGAGCCCTCGTCCGCGCAGCTCTCGGTGCTCCCGAAGGCCAGTGCGGATGGCGCATCCGTGCTTGCCTCGAGCGGCGAGGGCATTTCCGCCAAGACCGGCAGGCAGCTTCCGCGGCTGATCCCCATGCCGCCCGCCAAGTTCCACGCGCGGGACCCCCTGACCATGGCCGCCATCCCGACGCCGCGGGCGGACAGGCCCGCCCACGCCAGGAGCCCCCGTCCGGCGGCGCTGAAGCGGGCGCTGGCCAGCGCCGAGCAGCCTCAGGGTGGGCTCGGGGGATGGGCGGGCAGGCCTGCTACCCGCAGGGAAGCCGCGCGAAGGGCAGAGAGCAGGGGGAACGGACCCTCCGCGGAGTGAGATCGGAGGGGCAGCATGCCACGAGAGTGAGGCGTTCCAAGATTTCTAGGATTTCCAAGATGTCCTGATGTTCCACAGGGGCCTGGGTTCAGGATGGGCCTGGCCAGGGGGCAGTGGAGATGTGTAGATTTCGTCGCCCTACGCGCGCCAGAGACGCTGTACTACCTCAGCCGGGTGGAGTCTGCCACCCCTTGGACGGGGCTAGGACGAGGATAAGTCCGTTCCAGAGAGTTCCGGAACGCTCTCAGAGCACTCCAGAACGTTCTGAGAATGCCGCGGCGCCCGAGACACCTTCTAGAGCCGCGGGATCTCAGAGACTCTCGATGTATCCCCGCCCGAATTTCAGGAGAGGCTAATTCCATACCAGGCAAGTCCAGACGGAGTGTTCGGTCTCCGTCTGTGCTCAATCCGTATGGACGTAGGCTCTCCTGATGGGATGCTAACTCCATACGGAGTACGTCCACACGGAGTGCTCAGTCTCCGTCTGGACTTCCTCCGTATGGACCTAGCCTCTCCTGGGAACTCGTCCTCGTCCTGGGCACCACGAGGGCGCGAGATTAGCCGCGCTTCGCGCCTCGCGGTCTGGGTGATTTCAGAGCGAGGCGCGAGTCCCTCATCCTGTTCCTGGGGGGCGGCGCGAAAGCGCGAAGAGAATCGCGCTCCACGCTTTGTTCCAACCTACTCTAGCCTTGACCACCAGAATGAATTTCGAGCACCAAGAAACTACCGACACTTGAGGGTTTTCACGTGTCGGGCCCTGGGAGGCGACACTCGTTCGAAACTGTTTCGATACTTTTCTGGGTGCTCGAAATTAGTTCTGGGATGTGGTCCTGAAGTGCGATGGGAGCAACATTACGCGAATCCCTCATCCTGTTCCCGGGGGGGAGGCTGGGGGGCGGCGCGAAAGCGCGAGGAGAATCGCGCTCCACGCTTCGCGGATCGCGGAGCGCAGATGTTGAAAACGACCAGGGGCCGCTGGATCTCAAGCCATCCCACGGCCTCGCTCGAGGAGCGGCGTGCGCGCGAGGCGGGCCACGCGCAAGACTCCAGAGGCACCACGGTCGGCCAGATGATCAGCACCCTCGTTCGTTGTCCTGGTCCTGGAGGGTTTCTCCGAAGGGCTCCTCCTCCCCCATCTCCTCCTCCTCCATCTCCTCCTCCCCCATCTCCTCCTTCTCGTCCGCCTCCTCCTCCTCCTCCATCTCCTCCTCCCCCTCCTCCTCCTCCTCCTGCTCCTCCTCCT